CACAGTCATCCAAATATTATAAAATATATAATGAAGAAGAAGAGAACCATCAGTGAAATTCGATGAGAGTTCAAAAAGGAAAACAAAATCGAGCTACACCCTCGAGTGGGCACCCAAACACGTTTTCTTTAGAAACACAACTGGATTCTAAGGAAGGGAAAGGTATATCGTATCTCGGGTGTCAAATAGTTTCGGAAGCGTCTGTTCGGTAGCTGCTCGGTTCCATACTTTGCTGCCTTGAGAAATAAAGAGTGGAACTGAAGTACTGAATGCAGTCGGAGATCTCGTGATACTGTATTGCATTCGAAATGGAACCTCTTATTTCTCTAGTGCAATAGAAAGTAAAGCCTAAACACTCGGTTCAAATAACTGTAATTTTATATTTCTGAAGCTAATGCTATTTAATTTATAAAGTCACCTCTCTAATATTTAATTTTACAATAAATGTACGTGCTTTATGCTCCATTCGATAGTAATTTTAATATTTATATTTTTTCGATACACATCCTTGATTCATTTTATTCCATTTTAGATGTTATTCGATACGTATTGCATGAACGTGACCCAAATATATTTATTTGTTTAATACGTACCTTTCAATACTTGAGTCAAAACTAACGTCACTTATATAAACAATACATTTGGTTAATCAGAAACAGCAAATATATTATTACAAATTACAATGGATTTTGTTATATATGGACTTAAAAAGTGATGTACATACCAAAAGAATAAATGAATGTTGTTGAATTTATTTCAGTAAATGCCATACTATTTTCCCTTTGGATTTCAAACAAGATTATATTATATAGTGAAGAATACCTTAGGTAGTTTAAAAAGTTGTACCGGCAATGCATTTTGTTGACTGTATCCTGGAAAAGTAATGTAAATGAAAGCACTGGGAAACGTGTATCAATTAACTTAACGTACAATTATTAATTTTATAATTTATATTACTATATTATACATTATTATTATATTATTATTATTATTATTATCATTATTATTATTATTATTATATTTATCACAGCTTTCTGGATTACCAGTAATCACACAATACGTATCAAAGGCATTCACTTATTACTTACAAGTTACTAAATAGCGCTTACAGTTTTCACACAGCACTTACACAACACAGTACATAGCCACACAATATTTACACAACATTTATAAAATTAAACCTTTGAATTGTATATAAAAATTTCAACAAATGCTTTATAAATCTGAACCCATAATTCTTCTAACCAAAGACATGTATTAATTATTACTGCTTTCTGCGTGTTTATCCAAATATTTTTGTTTATATCTAGTTCTTCCACTGACTTTAAGTGACCTTTTTTACAATACCACTTGCTGAGATTACAATAGGGATTGTCTTCGCATTTTCCAAGGACCATTCCTCCTTCACGACTTGGACCAATTCTCTGTATTTTCCCAGCTTCGTCTGGTAATGTGTCATATGTTGTTGTTGTCAACCACCGCGAAGTCCACAAAGAAGACTTTCTTGGATACCCTGCCCAGATAGTGATATCAGGTCTGTTATGATTGACGGTTTTGTCTGTCAGGATGCTTCTGTCCCAATACAATTTGTAGGTGGTATTCTTTAGGACCGTTTGGGGATGATACTTATAATATGTTATCTCGTGCAGAAGAACCGTATTATTATTATTATTATTATTATTATATATTATTATTATTATTATTATTATTATTATTATATATACAAGTTTACTTGTATACATTGTTTTGCTCGTATTCTCTGGGTAATTATTTGACTTGTGCGGTTAATAACCAAGACAATGCCAATTCATTTTTCGCCGCAATTAAAAATATTGCACAATTTTGCTGTGTTTAAATGATACAGTGGATGTTTTGACGTGTATTTTCGTCTAATCGTCTAGACTGTGACGTATTACTGTGTTATTACGTGTTTAAGTACTTGTGCATTTATTATTTTTCTCATTTTACGGCGTGCATCGTTGATTTTTGTCAATGGAGTGGTAATCAAATGCGTACTAAATACGTAATTCCCGTCAATACTAAGAACTATTTCTGCCTATAATCCTTAACAAAATTGGACAAATGTGTAAAATTCCAAGTAAAACAAAAAATGCAAAGAAAATAAGCATTTGTTACTTTATTGTCATTTCATTTTCGAACTTGTTCAACAGCAAATTTCGGGTTGAAACGACAAAGGCGCCACTGCGTGTTTGTGTCTAGGAGCATAGAATTAGTACTGCTGCTTCATTCGGCTTAGTCCATGATGTTGCCAGCCTGTGGGTTCTCAGGAGTCCCTCCACATGGTTGCCCGCAGCCAACATTCCCCTTCCTGGGACGCCACCGCCACCGCCCACTCGACGCCACCCACTCCACAACCACCGCTCCCGGCCTGACCCCCCGCCCCCCGCCGCCAACATTCTCCCAGTTACGAGCGCGTCCGACCCCCCCCCCCATCCATCCGCTCCGCCTTCGCCTCCCTCCCCTCCCTCCCTCTGCTACCCCTCCCCTCGCCGTCCGGACCGCCGCTGGCATCTTTGAGCCCGCGTGCGGCGGCGCGAGGGCTCAAAATATTTGCACGAGGCGGCGGGCCGCTGCCGACGCCTGGTGATCTTCAGACGCCCGACCCCCCCCCTCCGCCCCGACCCGCACTCTCCCCCCTCTTTCGCGCACTCTCCCCCCTCCCCTCCGACCCGACCCGCTCCCGCGCCTCGCTAGCACGACATGTTCTTTCAGCTCACTATACTATGGCACTGGCAGCTTATAAGCGACTCTGACAGTTCATTGCGCTATTGCGATGCATTACTATGCACATGTCACCACCTACAACACAGATCAATGAAATCTCAAAACATAAACACTTACTGACAGTCTATGACACGTCTTGACATTATGTTCAGAACTTTCGCCATAGCTGAACCTTAGCGCCCCTGGGATTTTGCGTGAATCAGATGAGCGACGACGATTCAACGATGACCCTGCTTTCCCGTCTGTGGCACAATAAACAGTTCGCAGTGAGCACTGATGACAACATTCCAAACACATCTTTACTGGCACGAAATATAAACTATTTTCTGTTGAAGAGAACTTGTGTTCGTGATTTTCGCCAAAACGTCTTCAAAAATGACCGAATCATGTGAATATCCATTACAGGAGATACGTCGATCTCCTGAGAAAGTTAGAACGCAAATTATGGAGAAAGTTGCGAAGGCATGATTGATGAGAGCGTAGGCTTCCGCGGCCGGATCAGTATTTACTAGGCTTCCGCCGTACGCGCGTCCATTGCGAAGGTGCCGACGTTTCGGTCGCAATTCTGCGACCTTCCTCAAAATTGGGCCTCAGGGCATTATGCGCCTGAGGAAAGTCGTCCAGAATGCTATCGAAACGTCGCACCTTCGCCATGGACGCGGCGTCACCCGGACAGCCTAGTAAAAGCATGATTGATTCTCCAGAGATTGGCATTGCTTCACAATTTCTAGTTGATTTAGTAAATAATACCTCCTCTCTACACATTTCTTCAATCATCTTTGAAGAAGAAGTTCTGCGCGAGAAATATGCAGGCCAGTGCCGTACAAGCCACAATGACAGTTCTCTTGCCATGTTCTCTGCTGTTTCATGACTTGCTCAGAAGTCATCAGATCGCTAGGGGTTGCTTGTTATGCCACAGCCACAGTTCTGCGTTGCCAGATGTCTCACTCACACTGAGTCACTAGCGAACCTCGCAGATAAATGTCATCAAGAGAATCAGGTTTCAATGCGGAGTTTGTGTGGAAGTAAAATTTTACTAAACTTGCGGTCGAAAAAGTGAAAAATTACATTTGCGTTTTTTTGTTCGAAAAATCAAACGATACAGGAAAATGGCTTTTATGTCATTTTAAACAGTGCATTTAGTACAATCCGTATAAAAAGTTTTAAGAAAAAAATTGAAGCCATTTTTAGGAAATTGGTGTTTCAGCGTGACTGAAAATATGAAATTTTTAGCTAATTTTCACAGAAGAATTTTGAATAACCGAGAAACTTTATACGATATAATTTAAATCACATCTACTCGTAAATATAATAAGTGAACAAGTTGCTGCTAATGTAAATATTCTGTTTTTTATTATTTTCTAATAATGCACATATTGTGCAAAATGTACTAAAATTTTCAAAAAACATGTAAATGACCTTAATGAAAGAACTATGGAGAAATAATTTACTTGAAGAAAATCTCTATCTTCAATTTCGAAGATTTAAGAAGACACCGAAAAACTTTTGAAGATTTCAAAAATTCAGAGTTAACAGTAAAAATTGCACCTACGCCACCTTTTTAAGTGTATTTCCCTCTATTGTCACAAGAAATTTGAAAAAAAAATTGAAGACAGTTTTGAGATAATTTTGAAAATGTCCCTGGGGGTTCATGTAAAAAACTTGAGATAATGTTTTTCGAAATCATAAAGCTTCGAGTCAAGTCAAATCGATGGAGGAATTCACATTTTGAAAAAAATCTACTTATGATTTAGGTGCTAGTAACGTTCACAGACGGACAGACAGGCAGGTGGACAGGCCGCGAGATGGACGGACTGACGTTTTCAAAAATAAATACTTTTTCGTTATCAGGGGCCTCAAAACGTGTCTCTCCAATGAAATCTTGAATAGATTTTCTACAGCGTTACATAGCTTTCTCTATACTGTAACCGTTGTCTATCTGTGGAAAATAAGAAAGCTACATTTAAATAGCGCGGGCCGTACCCTCTGCAGCAGCAGCCACCTGTATTTATGTACATTCTTAGACAAATGAGTTGTAGTGACAAATGAATTGTAGGGGAGGGGAGACAGGCAGAAGAAAGAACGAGAAGGAGGCAGGCAGCCCTGAATGTCGGATGGTGAGTTAGTAGAAGAATCTTGTTTCATTACTTGAATACATTTGACGTATGGTTTCACTTTTGTAATTTGGTACTTTCTATCTATGGTATTTGGAGGATGTGGAAAATCGAGTCGCCATACCCAGTGCGAATAATTGGAAAAATGACACCGGAGAACGGACGGCACGTGGTGCAACGCGGAGGACGCTGCGTTGAGGACAGCCGGACTCGAGGAGGAGAAAAGTCAAAGTTCTACAACGACATCCGAGAAGGCCCAGGTAGAATCAACGTTTTGCGGCGGCAATATAACGCCCTGCGAAGGAAGTGTTTTTTTTACTTTGCCCCTGACAATAGCGATCCGCAATTTCTCAGTTAATTGTGTGATAGGTGTTTCACGTATTCCATTGTAGTTATTTTGTTTTTAAGTCAAACTAATAAAAGGAGAAGTAGACTAGGAATAGAACATTTCGCGACGCGCAGACGAATGCAATTGCGCGAGGAGGGAATGTGGTCTAGGCCAGGGCGAGCGCGGTGCAAACATAACGGTAATTAGTGGCATGTTACACATAAATAAGCTGGTAACATAATTAGGTGGAATGGTAGAGAGGAAGAGAGAGTAGGGAAAAAGTAAATGGTGTGTAACCTAAATATATTTTGAGTTCTTGTTAGTCGATTGTCTTGATATAGGACACGAACAATGTGAAGATAGAACAACAATTTTATATCGTAAGGCATGGTAGTTAAACCAGCATAGAATAGGGTAATTGTGAATTGATATAGCTGGTAAATTAATTGTATTGTAATGATAAGTGTCACGTGTTTCAAATTAGTACGTGTGAAATATTGTAATACTTTCTCTTCTTTTATTCAGATAGTGAATGTCAATAGAGAGAAATTCCAATAAGATTGTTGTGGCCATGTTAGTTAAGAAGTATAAGGAATACCTTTAAGTGTAAATATTTAATTGTGTGTGTTTGTGCAGATTGTAAATTTGTATAAGCAGTTGTTATTTTCCCAATTTGTTTAGCTAAAGGATCCAACATTAATTCTTCACTGATTTTGTTATTGTAAAAAAAGGATAATGATTTTGTTTTGTGTTTAAGAATACATTTCTTTTGTTTATAATTTTCTGGATACGTATTTCTTTTCACAAGACAAGAAAGAAAGATCGAAAAAAAATTCACTGCTAATTACAAAGTCAGTTATGAGCCTTCAAGTTCATTGCAAATGAAAAAGGTTTCAATACTACATATATTACTTCGTATACACGTAAGTATACGAGAGAGTAAAAAATCTTCTGATATGTGGTAGTGCTGCGAGTATGGAGGTGAGCATGCAAATAATTTTTTAGCCATTAAAACTCCCCCTCCCCTCCACAGCTTCGAATATGTTTGAACCCGCGAACGGCTGGGCTTAACGATCCACTACGCTAAGCGTTACATCACCGAAGCCCCAAATGTTTCTTGAGTATCGGTACCTTCCCGATTGTTTTTATTAATGACTAGCTGAAGAACGCAGCGTTTCTGTGGTATTAATGACAATAATATATTAGACATAAAGAAGTATTCCCAATACTCCTGCCGCGAAGCCTAATAGTACCTGTTCTATTGCATCCCCGCTGCGTCTTGCACCAAGTCTCTCTGTTTTCCTCCCTCGTGGAAACAGTCTTCCTCACTCATTTTATCACTAAAAATATTTATATTTTTAAAAAATTGGGTTTCGTGACCCCAAGCTTCATTCATTGTATACCTAAAAATAACAAAAAAATCCACACATAAATATAAAATACATGTACTCTCGTATTATTTTTGTGCAATTTTATGCATTACACCCATAGTTTTAATATGTTGTCACATTGTATAACATTTTTTTGCATATGTTCTCTTCTCACGTATTTATAAAGAAAAGTTTGAAATTGTTCTTTGACCCAATAGCAAGGCAATTAAAATGTAATACTATAAATAAAATGTTTTAATTGAATTCGAGTACGCGTTTCAGGGTCCTTGATAAATAGTGACTGAGGGAAAGATGCCCTTAAGCAAATAGACAATTATAACCTCTCCAAAAATCCGAGATCACACAGGGAATCCTGACTTGACTAAAGTTTTTCTGTTTTCTAAAAAAATCTTTTGTTCTGTTTTCAACAATCTTGAAAAAAAACAGGTGTTGACACACATTCAATTCCTTCCATTCCACATTACTTTTTTACTCAAGTTGTACTTCTTCTTGCCGAACTTACCCTTATCAATTTAAATAAGGAACTATTCCGTCACCTTCCAAAGGTATGCTTTCTCCTCTATAATAAACCACATTTTACACAAATTCATGCATCTATCACATTTTCAGTATAACACGTAAATCATTCACATTCTGTTTCACTTTACTTCGAGCAATTCTCAAATACGTAATAAACATGCTTAATGTACTACTAGTAAACCAATGTCTATTTCATGTAGGACGCATTGTACATTCATACTTTTTTATGACAAGATCAAACGGCATTTTTCTGATTGCAATTCTAGTTTGTAAATCATTACATACTTCTCTCTTGTACACTCAATATATTCACGCCTAGGTGCAAGTAAAATGAATGTCAAAGTTAGTTTAATAAATAATGAAGGAAAACTTTGAGAATCATTCGTAAATATTAGCATTTCCAATTAAACAATTGATCATCCATCATTCTCTGGTGGAGCGCAGCTAAACTATTGCGCGCATTGATGCACTCTTGAATCTGTGCGAATGCTAGGCGAAACAAGTGCACAAAAGTAATTATTTTGTGAAGATATTGAGGTTTGGGGTTGTGAATCATATCCTATAGTACTGCTGGCCTTCAAAGACAGCTAGCTCATAAGTTTCATTTCTATTCGTGCAGTACATTCAGATATTATCGCGCTGTAACGCAACGCGTTTGTGTTTTTGTGTATTAGTATAGCTCTAGAAATACCAGGGGTGTAGTTAATTGTATGGTACAAAATAAAGATTACAAAATCCTGCCCGTTGTTGGTGCCTACAGAGAGGCGCAGCCATGTGTACATCGTAACAAATCAAGATCATAACAGTGAACTTTACCTCTGGTAAAATATATCATTTTAACAGCAGGAAGTGTCCTAAGCCGAATAATCAACCTACAGATGATTTAAACGAATGCGTGCGACTTACCATCGTTCCTAGCTGGTGTGAAAAAATCCCCTTCGCGAGCATGTACCCCAGGACGCTTAGAGCGCATTGACGCTGCGAGGCCCCAGCTACGTCCCCCGCCCCGCCCGCCCCCGCCCCCGCCCCCGCCACGCCCCGCCACGCCCCGCCCCCCCCGCCACGCCCCGCCCCGCCCCGCCCCGCCCCGCCACGCACGCCAACGCCCGCCACGCCCCCACGCCACGCCGCACGCCCCTTCACGCCCCGCCCCGCCACCACGCCCCGCCACGCCACGCCACGCCACCCACGCACGCCACTCCCCCCCCTGTGCCGAAAGGCCCCAGCAGGCTTTGTGCAGCTTCTGCCTACCCCGCTCTTTTAGCCCCCCCCACCACTGGCAGCTTTGGCGGCTTTAGTCTCCTGTCGCTCTTGAATTCCTTCTCTCCCATCCTGCATCTCCCCATGCGGAAAGACCGCCCAATTTCATCCCCGACCTCCGCGGTGGGGGTTTGTGGGCCCAGGACTTGTCATGGCGCGCTCTTTGGAGCATGGGAGGCCACTGCGACAGAAACCAAGGCAATCGGGACTTGGCTCAAGCACTACGGAAAGGCAGGTAGTGGGAGTGGCATTCCTTGTTTCTTTCTTTCTTTCTTTCTTTCTTATTTATTAATTCAGCGTCAAACAACAGTTGAACTCTGTGTGTGACACTCAGTGGAGGGAAGTGCTCTCTGTGCACTTTTTCAACTCTCACACCTCTACCCAAATTCATACACATAGTATGTTAAATTATGATTTCAAGTAGCAACGTCAAGTTTGGGCAAAAATTGTCAAGAATATATTCGCTCCTGTAAAATAAAAAGGCATTTGCAAAGGCAAAAGAGGAACATATTTTGGCTTTTATCCATTATCGTGTCTTGTGTGAAGGGGTCAAGTCAGTGTTCGAGAACACGGCGATCGATTACTTGAAATGATTATTTGCCCCCCACCGCTGGATTCAAGAAAACTACATTTTTTTCAAGGTTCGGGGAAAAACCTGATGGAAATGGGAGTCATTAACTCAAAGCTGAGATGCAATACTCCATATCGAATTCTCAGAGTTTATTTCTTATTCTCGTATCCTAATGTTATTTGACTTACTTTACCGCTTAAAAAATAACACACGGAGAGCTAACGACTTCTGCACACTGAGACGAATACATTTACGAACAGCGCATACCCTAACGCGCTTAGCAGATTCCATACGTTATTTTCTTGGAAACAATAATTTCGTTTTGAATCTTCCAACTAAATAGAATAACGTAGGAGATATTTTCTCAAATTATGCTTTTGTACGGATTAAATCGGGGGACAATCTTAAATGCAAAAAATCAAATTTGTTCCAGTTGAAATCAGTATTTTACGAACATTGCGAGCAAAATACTGCAAAAAAAAACATCATGTAAAGATAAGTAAAAAGCTGTGAATGAAATGGAACTAATTTTCTATTTGTGATAGAGTATGTGTTAAAGAGTATTTCCGGTGCGTCAATAGTCTCGTAAGTGTAGTGGATTTTTAATCTCTGAAGGAGGTCTTTGAACCCTAGTACCTCTCGCTCAGAGGCGCTGCAGTGGCACCATTTAATGCCCTGAGACGGTGACGGTATTATCAATTGGAATTAATATATACATTGCGATGGTTGCTAATCAAATATACTGAAAAAGGTTATTTGTGAGTTTTGTGAGTTGTAGGTTCAGGTTTATCATTAAATGCTACCAATAAATCATAGTTATTCGTTTAACTATGTCTTATTGGGACATGAAGAAATAATATTGAAACAAATGAAATTCTGTAAAGAGTGAAAAAAGTATATTAACGATTAACCAAGTGAAAATATGTTGAACAAAAATTGTATATTGAATATAAATTACCATATGAAAGGTATTTTAAATAATAAGTATGAGTGTATTACTACTTCGCCTTTAAAAATATATACGAGTATATTAGTTTGGGGCAGTTCTCGTCTGGTAGCGGAGGTGAACGGTCGTGGCCGCTGCTCCGCTGTGCTTACTTTGTTCGGGTCGCTACGCGCAGAAGATAAGCGAATTCAGAGTGAACGAAGTGTATTAGCGTACTAGTTAGTTACTTTATTCAGTGTGCGTGT